GTGGAAGAAAGAAATGCTCGTGTTCTGTGTGTTCTGCTTTCAGAGAATCTTGAGTAGACTGCTGCAAATAATAAGCAAGCAAGAAATAAAGAGGTTGGCTTTCCCACATATATAAGACAAGTGAGAAGCTGTGTTGCACTTGTAGAATTTTGAAGCTATGAGGGGAAAGGCATGGGTGTAATTTTACTTTATGGGTGAAAGAAAACTGCAGGGAGTGGGGAGTATAAATATATCCATGCCACACTTAGCACCTATTTGCAGTCGCTTTGTTGGTTTGTTCATGAAAATCATATTATACTTGTGTTATATCTATTTTTTTCAAGCAGTAGTTTAAATGTTAGCCAATTTCTTTATTTTTTAAACCAATTTACAGTTGACCCTTGAACCACATGGGTTTGAACTGGGGGCTGGACTTACACTCGATTTTGTTTTGAAATGCCGCATGATGGCCGTCTTTGCCACACAAGCAGTTCATCTCTCCAGTAAACTGTGTACCACAGTTAAAAAGTCATCTCGTAAATCTTGAGTCACACCATGGGACCCATCCGAAGTGTCACTGGAGATGCTGACAGTGCTCCCACGAAGCAGAGAAAAATCATGACGTTATGGGAAAAACTTGAATTGCTTGATACGTACCATAGATGAAGGTCTTCAGCGGCAGTTGCCCACCATTTCAAGATAAATGAATCTGGTGTAAGAACTATTTTAGCAAAAGAAAAGGAAATTTGTGAAGCCCTTGCTGCGGCTATACTGTTGTTGTTGTTAAGTGCAGTCGAGTCGGTTTCGACCCATAGCGACCCTGAACAGGGTTTCCGAGGCTGTAAATCTTTACGGGAGCAGATCGCCTCATCTTTCTCCCATGGAGCAGCTGGTAGTTTCAAACTGCTGACCTTGCGGTTCGCAGCCCAATTCGTAACCACTACGCTAAAAATCTTGCACTTTTTGTGAAATACCTTTTTATCTTGTATTGAAAATGCAGCTTTTATGTGGGCGCAGTATATTGTTGTTATTAAGCGCTGTGGTGTCAACTCATAGTGACCCTATATAGGGTTTCCAAGGAGCAGCAGTTGGTGGGCTTGAACTGCCAACCTCAATATGATACATATAACATAGAAAACCTGTGCTAATTAGCCATTATAGGCAAGGCTTCTGGTTAACAGAAGGCTATTAGTAGTTCAGTTTTGGGGGAGTCAAATGTTATATGGGGGTTTCTGACTGTGCTGGTGTCAGAGAGCCAAACTCCCACAATGTTCAAGGATCAACTGTACTTTTTATGCTTTTTGGGGGTAGGGGAAGCAAACTGAACCAAAAGGTACTGAACTTACATAATTCTGTACTCCTAGTTTTATCAGTTTGTAAAAAACAGGCCAAAGCAGAATCAACATATCAGTGTTATTATTAAAACAGAGGTGTTATGTCCAGATTTGGGTTAAGGTACTGTACTGCAAAGTCAGTTTGAACTGCAAGGTCAATGGTTCAAGCTCACCAGCTGCTCCTAGGAAACCCTATACAGGGTCGCTATGTGTTGGAACCGACTCGAAGGCACTTAACAACAACAACAACAGTGGAGTCCTGGTGTGTTGCTATAGGATAAAGCATTGGATCACAAGGTTGCCTTGAACTATAAGGTTGGCTGTTGAAAGTCACCAACCAACCGCTCCTCAAAAATCCTTTACAGGGTCGCTGTGATTCAGAAGTGACTTTTAGGTAGTTAACAACAAGAGGATTAATCTGAGATTTTCAAAAACATTTATTTTCAGGAAACAAATTTGGGATGGAGGTGGCGGAGAAAACTCAATGAACTGAATGGAAAGTAGCCTTGTAGAACTTTGAACCAGTTTCACATTTTCTGCTCTGACTTGTCAGTCTTTACTGCTGCTGCTGCTTCACTTTTATGGGTTTCTGAGAATCAAAGGCTTGCTCAGATTGAGATAAGCTTCTCCATCCGCTCACATGTCTTCTTTCTTTTTGTGATTTGCTATTATTTCCATGTAAACCATTTTCTTTTATGTGGTGATGAAGGGTTCTAAAGCAGGTAAGAAATACAAACACAGAAGACAACTCTGACTCACTGCCTGCTATCAAGTCAACTCTGACTCACTGGGACACTACAGGACCAAAATGATAACAGTAACAAGAAACACACTGCCAGTTCTAAGCGTCCAGAGTCTTTTATCTGCAATTCAGAAAGCCAAATAGCACTAAAATCAACTTTGGGTAACTCCATTGCCAGTAACAACAGCTAACCTGAATTGGAGAAAGCTTCTTTATAATCTTTGATTTACCCCTCTTAGTATGATTGGTCAGAGAAGTATTGAGGGTTTGGACTATGGGTTGTTGTCCCTTAATGTTATGGGTATTCCTTAATATATGGTGGTGGTAGTTGGTAAGTGCCGTTGAGTCTTTACTGACTCACAGCGATCCCGTATGAGGTTTCCAAGGCAGAAAGCCTCATCCTTCTGAGGAGCAACAGATGGGCTCAAACCGCCAACCTTGTGGTTCACCATCCAGTGTTATTGTTAAGTGCTGTTGAGTCGATTCCAACCCAGAGTGACCCTGTATAGGGTTCAAGCTGGTGAGCTTGAACCACCAACCTTGCAATTCAAACGGCTTTACAGTCTGGCCCATTAACCCACAGTGCCTTAAATAGACCAAACAGTTCTGAATTCTATAACCCACACAGCCCTGAAGGAAACTGCAACTGGTGTCAGACTTGTTTTTACTCCTCTGTGCCCTACAATTGCAGAAACAAGCAAGGGAGGCTCCCCATTTCTGTTCTTGCTAGCCCCACTGCCCATTCTGTTGGTCTTTTAGAGCCTAGTCAGGGTGGGACCATAACCTGCCCATCTCTAGACTAGTCCTTCGCAAAGTGTCGTCCCCAGATCAGCAGCAGCAGCACCTGGGAACGTGTGGTGGTGTTATGTGCAGTCAAGTCGGTTCCAACTCATAGCCATCCTGTATAGGGTTTCTGAGGAGTGGCTGGTTGGGTTTGAACCACCGACCTTCCAGTTAACAGTCCAGTGCTTATCCTACAGTGCCATACCAGGACTCCTGGAAACTTGTTAGAAATGTAAATTCTTGAGCCCCATCCCACACCTACTGAATTAGAGACTCTAGAGGTAGACCCTGGTGAGCTGTGGTTTACCAAACCCTTCTGGGGATTGAGAGTTTTGACTATGGGTTTTACAGTCAAGTTTGAGAACCACCGTTTTAGATAGGGGTTGGCAAACTATGGTCCACAGGCCAAATCTGGTCCACCCAAGAGCACATTAACCAGTAGTCATGCAGTGTACCGGTTTACAGAACACAAAGTATACATGGGCTTAGTTGTGCTTACTTGTAAGTAAACACAAGTAAGCCCACGTGTCCCTAACTTACTGGGTAATGAATGTGTCCCTGGGTCCACTGCATGTTTTTTTGTATCTCCAGTAAGCTAAGAATGGTTTTGACGTTTTTTTTGTAAGTGGTTTAGACAAAATCAAAAGAAAAAATATAAAGTTTAGATCTCAGTGTCCATCAATAAAGTTTTATTGGAACACAACCAAGTTCATTCATTTACATATTGTCACAGCAGCTTTAAGATCCCTGGTGATACAATGGCTAAGATGCACAACTGCTAACTGAAAGGCCGATGACTCGAACCCCCCAGAGGCTCCTGTCTTACCTGCTTTACAGGGTCAATATGACTGAGATAAAGCACACGACAACATGTTTGCTTTTGATCAGCGGCAGCAAAACTGAGTAGTTACAGCAGGGACCATCTGGCCTGCAAAGCTGGAAATATTGACTATCTGGGCCTTCACAGAAAAACTTTGCTGACTCCTGGTCTAGATCAATGAAGACTATGTCAAGTCCAGAGGTACTGAGGCCTTTCTGCATCTGAAAAATGTCCCCATCTCCTGAAGAAAAAAAAAAAAAAATTGAGAAAACTTGCATTTCTGTGTGTGAAAGTTACTACGTAACATTACATGTTGAGGTCATAGTTTTAAATTAAAATAATCTTTGTATTATTTTGGAGAAGTAAGAACCAAGTTGTTGTTGTTGTTATGTGCCATAGAGTCGGTTCCGACCCATAGCGACCCTGTATAGGGTTTCCGAGGGTGTAAATCTTTACAGGAGTAGAAAGCCTCATCTTTCTCCCGCGGAGCAGCTGGTAGTTTCGAACCGCTGACCTTAAGGTTCGCAGCCCGATTCGTAACCACTACGCTACCAGAAGAACCAAGTAGTTGGTGGAAATTTTGAATTTCATCATTTTCAAATGTTTCATAGTCTTAAATGTTTACTTCTTTGGGCGGGGAGAGAAATTCATTTTTATGGTCTTTTTCTGACTCTTAACATTTCTGATTTAGGGAAATACTGCCTTTCATATAAGACATGTCCTGGTCAGATTGTGTTTTTAGTGTTGTATTTTCTGCCAGGTTTGAACCATTTAGATGACTTTTTACATGACTACAATAATATCCCAGGTAGCCTGTGGTTAGTTAACCCTAAGAGGAAGACTCCCAGCGAGATGGATCGGCAAAGTGGCAGCATCAATGGGCTCAAGCATAGCAACAATTGTGAGGTTGCCCCAGGATTGGGCAGTGTTACATTGTACTGTGCATAGGGTCGCTATGAGTCGGTACTGACTCGATGGCACTTAACAACAACAAATCTGCCGATTTAGGCATTGCCTCATATTTCATTTGTTGTGAAAGTATAAAGGGGAGGTGTGAACTGGCCATATGATTTGCATGATCTTTTCTGAAAACTGCATTTTCTTATCGGACAGCATTAAATTTTACTTTTAAAACCTGCCAACATCTGAAGTGTGTCTTGATACCTGTATTATGTTCAGTTTTGACTATGTTTTTCTTGGCCGCTTAACAGTGTACACTACGCAGCCCAATGGGCAGTAAGTCTTTACTTGTACAATGCATTGGCTTTTAGTCATAAATATGTATTGACTTCTGTTTGTTGTTGTTTTGTGTGTGTGTGTCTTAATAAATTGTGTTTCTTAGGCAACTTGTTCCAGAGATGGCATGTTCCCCTAGAACTCCAGATGACAAGACAAATGGCTAGCTCTGGTTCATCAGGGGGCAAAATCGATAACTCTGTATTAGTCCTTCTTGTGGGCTTATCAACGTTGGGAGCCGGTGCCTACGTAAGTAGAAAAGCTGCTTGGTAAATAAGTTGCCAAACAGCTCTCATTCGGGGCCTATTTGCAATGAATCTCCTTTTGAAACATTTCTGTTGGGGGTGGTGGATAGCCTTCGTTAAAGTGCCTACTGTCTAATATCCTAAGAGAGCCATTTTGGGAATGATTGAAATTTCATCTCCTATTGGTGGATATCTGCTCTTATCAATCATCTTGTCATTGTTTACTTGGAAGCCATTGTGATTGTCTGAGATTTGCCTCTTGGATGTGACACAGTATTCTGTGAATCAAGTCAGAATGCATTGCAGCTCCTTAGCACAATATTGGATTTTGACCCATTTTGGTCAGATATTTTTTTGTTTTCCTCAGCTTGAGATAAAAATTTTAAAAAAAGCAATCTTCAGTCCTAAATATTACATATTCCTAAAAGGAAAACTATCCCTGTATGTTACCCTAAAACTAAATGATAGAAGCAGATCCAGTAACTCTAATTGTTTGAGAGTAGAGTTTGCATGAGGTGAGAAATAATGGTGTTTTAACTGCTCTGTAGTATTGACAAATTTTAGCTCCTTAAATGAACTCTGATCAGCTTGGTTGCTCACCGAAGAATTGTTCTGTGGGTGTGTGTTTTGTTTTGTTTTCTAAGTTGGCAGGGTTTGCTGTGACTAAGCAGCTCAGTGTAAAGTTGGATCATGTGAGGTTGTGTGAACCAACTTTGGATAACACCTAGTAACATTTTCGGTTGAAGAGAACTTTTGTTTTACTTCATAAGAGCAAAACAGTTGGAAGCCGTGACAATTTTTGATCTTCCCAAAAGATCTAAAATCTTTTGAGATTTTAGTAAGGCAGTGAACTTACTTTTGTTCCTTGTTCACGAGGTTACCCAGAAAGGGACATGAGAAGTATTGCCCGTTACTTATCTCCTCAGACCCTGACCTGACTCCCAAATGCACAAGAAGAGGAGACAGCTCTTGATAGCTGTGAGTCAAATCAGAATTAAGAAATAGATGAGATCTTTTCACTCAAAACACAATGAAATGCTTAACTGAAAATGTAAAAATAAAAATATTTTGGAAGCACACACAAGTAATAAATAAAAGAAACTGATGAGATCTGTCTGATACCATACTTGGAAGAAATACACATTTTTCACCTCCAGTCCTGGAGCAGCAATTTTTTTTTTTTTTTTTGGCCCACTATGACCAAAAATGTCCCTCTGTCTTTGCATTGACTATGTCTTCATTAATATTTAGTACTGTTTCTGTTTCCTTTTGTTTCTTTCTTGGCCTTATCTTTGCCTACAGTTGTACAGGGTCATTACCTAGGACCCCCTTCTAGAGCACTAGCATCTACAGGTGCTTCTGGGAAAGATGGCAGCAGCCCTAGTATACTTCTAAAGTGTAGGAGCAGCAGCCACTGGGGCAGGAATTTACTGTGTAAGCTGCTTAGACTCAAATGTATTTAGGGGTAGGGTGGGCACTAATGAAAACTCAAGCCATTAGAGTATGATAAAATATTCACAGCATATGCTTACTAGGTATTTATTAAAGGGACATTGTCAGTCTCTCGGGAGCCCTCAGTGCTCACTGTTTAAACTGTTTTAAGTCCCATGGGACAGACCTAAGTCTGCACATTTAATGGTGGTTACAAATTATAATATCAACCCCTTTGAAACTTTTACTAGTCCCATAATCATTTGTTCTAACGCTGAATTATATTGTGCTTCCGTGCTCCATACCTATCAGGACAGTCCTAAATAGTAAGCCTTGAATCCTCAATTAAAGGTAACTTGAACACCCATCTATTTTGAGTCACTGTAGGTAAAATGTAATTTGTGTGTTTTGTGGGAAATATGCAATTCTCCTGACTTGTATTGAGCAAAGGCATGTTGCTGAATGCTACTGAGGAGGTCTGAAAGTTAACAATCATCTCCCTACCCACCCCCTACCTCGATCTTAAAGCATAACCAGTTGGCATTGTCCCTTTTGTAATCTTTCATTTGGCCACACTAGTGGCCCAAGGGGTACAAGCTAACAAGTTCATGTAGATTACTTTCTCAAATGCCTCATATTCCTAATTCAGATGCTCCCCTGGAGCATTAATGGTTCCATTTCATCTCTCTGTCTCATTTTTTTCCATCCATGCCACCCCTATTCATTCAAAACTCAACTAAACATTTGGATTCAATATGTTTGTGACACTTCAAACCTCTGATGACTATTGCTGTACCAGAGTTGGATGACCTCTACAGAGTTGGCCAAGCAAATTCTGTGTGCCAGCCCACAAGGCAGGGCTGGCTCCTGTTGCTTTCTCCCACCCTAGAAATGTCTAAAATGTACAAGTTCCATCTCAGGCCATTCACTGAAATGCCTCATTGCCCTCTGTGTTTATCCAACACTTGTAATAAGAAAGCATCTATACTACAGTGGTTCCAAGTTCAATGATAAGCTTTTGTCTACCTTTAACTGATTCAGCCTTGTATTAGTTGTTCAGTTCTTTTAAAAAAGCTTGATCTGAAGTAGCTTAGAATTTTTCCCTCTGCGGTTGGTAATTTTTTCTAGATAACATGTTTTTTGTCTTGGAAGATATAGATTTTTTTTTTTTTTTAAGTTTTCCTTGTGAATTGAGTGATACTTTACATAGAAGAATATCGGTTTTACACTCATCCTATCGTATTTAGTTTCATTGCAATGATTACAATCCTCTCCATGCATCATCACATCATCATTCAACAGTTCGTTTCTATTCCCTCTTTTTTTTTTTTTTAAGATGTATACCAAAACAGTCAGGAATAGGCAATCATTCAAACACCCAAAGGGCATACCCTGCAAGCCTGCCCCCTGGCCACCAGCACACAGCCCCTCTCCCCCCATGAGTGTAGAGTCCTCAGCTGCTCCCTCTCTCCATATCCTCATCTCTGCCTCCATCTCTGGCTTCTCTGGGTAGGGTCCTGCATTCTGTTCATGCCCTTCTCCCTTGATGGTCCTAGGGTCCTCTGTTTCTGGACTGTAAGATTAACTACTCCCCCATTTTTGTTACAATTGTGACAGTTGCAATTAGTCATGATAACAATTACTCACTACTGAATCATAAGAGTTTTATCCCCATCTCTTTTCACCAGACCTGTCTAGACAAGAAGAAAAGTATTCAGTGGGGACTCTATCTTTCCCCACACACTCTTAAACTAAGCTCCCTCTTGAAAACTTATAAGCCAGTCACTTCGTGCCTTTATCGTCCCCTCATTTTAGGTAGCCAGTGTCTAAGTTGCCCGTCCCTATCTACCCTGTGTACAGAGGGGATAGCATTGATCTTTGATGTGAAGACTACTTCCCTCTCTGTTGGTATTTTGAGCTACTACAGCTATAAGTCAAGTTCCTTGACTTACACTACAGCTACTACAGCCATAGGTCAGGTTCCTCAAATTGGAGCAATTTGCACTTGTTTCCTTTATCAAAATTTTATCTTCGTCTAGTTGAGTTCTGATCATGGAAGCTAGGTCAAATGGGTACTATCTGCAAGTTTTCATTTCCAGATAACTATTAACTTAAAATCAGAGCTCCGATTTGATGAGATATGGCTATGAATTGGTCCATGTTTCTTCAGAATTTGTTTTCCCCAAATGCAGAAATGCTAGTTTAAGTCTAAATATAAATACTACTGTAGCAGTTCCTGTATGGGAAGCTTGTTACCTTCTTCCCGCCAGCCCCTTGGGAAAAAAAACTTGGTGTGTGTGTGTGTGTGTGGAGAAAAACACTAATAACTAGTCCCCTCATATGTGTAGCTCGGTGCAGCCAGTTGCCCTTGAGTTGATTCTGACTCCTGGAAACCCATGTGTGTCAGAGTAGAACTGTACCCCCGAGGGTTTTAAAGCCTATGATCTTTGGGGAAGTAAATCATCAGGCCTTTCTTCTGAGGCCCCTCTGGGTGAACTCTGACCTCTAACCTTTTAGCCAGCAGTAGAGTGTTAACTCTTAGCGTCACTCAGGAACTCAATACACACTGTCCCCCCCCCACCCCTAGAAATATCTAGAGGTTAGGGGTGCTTTTCTTGGTCTGCTTTTTGTGTGAAGCAGTTAGGAGGTGTGAGCTGGGCTTAAGCTAGCTTTGGATATCCCTCTCAATATGAACATGTTGTTGTTAAGTGCCGCTGAGTCAGTTCAGACCCATAGCAACCCTGTATAGGGTTTCCAAGGAGCAGATGGTGAGCTTCAATTTGCAGTTAAAACGACTTTGCAGTCTGACGCATTAGCCCACCGTGCCACACCAGGACTCCCAATATGAATATAGCCCCACTCATGTTGATCAAATGAAGCCCTTCTTTTAGGTAAAAATCCCTTTGTTAAATGTTCTTGCTTTGCTTTTTTAGGTATGGGGATTTATAGTATCTTATGCCAAGATAAAACTTTCTGTCCAACGTTAATGTAAATTGAGTTCAGTTTATGAATTTATTAAGTTCAGTGGTAAATTCATTAAACTTTAATGTACAATACTTAGCTGCTTGCTCCATTCATCTCCCATGTTAAATGTTTCCATGCCGATCACCGGAGGTCCACGGTCCCTTTGGCAGCACATTATCTAATGGACTGCTCTGTACCAGGGCTCAGAGAAACAGTCTTCAAACATGTTTTGTGACCCTTCCTTAGATAGTTAGTAATCTGGAATGTCTTTTGACATCCAGTCACTTAAATCCCTGTCTTGATCCTGTGGGGCACTTGAATCTCCAGTAAATAAACTCTAGTGCTGTATGTTAAAAGAAAGAAAGAAAAACACACCAACTAATCATAATGATAAGGGGCCCTACATCAATTTGAAAGTGTAGAGGAGATAATGTATTTGAAATATACAACAGACTTCAAGCAAAGTGTTCCCCCTTAATAAATGTTTGTATGTAATTTCTCTCTCTCTCTCTTTTTTTTTTAAAGTTTTTATTGTGAATTGAGTGATAGTTTACGTGGGAGAGCATCGGTTGTACAGTCATGGTTTCATTGCAGTGATTATAATCTTCTCCATGCACATCATCATTCAACAGTATTTGCTTCTATTCCCTCTTTTTTTTTTTTTTTTGGTGGGGGGAATGTACACTAAAACACTCAGGCATTTAAACAAGCAATGTGCCTCCTGGTCTCCAGCTCAGTCCCCCTCTTCCCATGAGTCTAGAATCCTCAGTTGCTCCCTCTCTCCATGTCCCCATCTCTGCCTCCATCTCTGGTGTCACTGGTTCTCTGGATAAGGTCCCTCATTCTGCCTGTGCTCTTCTCCCTTGATGGCCCTAGGGTCCTCTGTTTCTGGACGGAGAGATTAACTACTCCCCTGTTTTTGTTACAAAACTTCTACCTTTAGAGTTGTGACAGTCGCAGTTAGTCATGATAACAATTATTCACTGTTGCATCATAAGAATCTTATTCCCATCTCCTTTCACCAGACCCTTCTAGACAAGATGAAAAGAATTCAGTTGAGATTCTACTTTCCGCTGCACACTTTGAAACTAAACTCCCTCTTGAAAGCTTGTAAGCCTGTCACTTTGTGCCTTTTTAGCCCCTCATTTCAGGTAGCCAATGTCTAAGTTGCCTGTCTATCAACCCTATATACAGAGGGGTGTATAATGTTTCTTAATAAGGTTTCTTCTGTTTCATCAGTGTCGGAAAAGGCTAGACCACTGAAGGAAAAGTGAATTACTCTGTGAGAATAGATACAGGTGGCCATGTTTCCATTATCTAAGTACCTTGTAGTTACTTCTTTAGGGTCTCACTTCTCTTGTGGGTGGCTTTAAGGAACAGAACTGCATTTTCTCACAATTCAGGCTAAAAGTCCAAATTCAAAGCACTAGCTCGCGGGATAAACTTTCTTGGCTCTGGGAGAAGCTCCTTGTCTCTTCCAGCTTCTAGTCTGTGTTCCTTGATTGTCTGGTGAGTTTCACATGGCACCTGTCCTTCCCCATTTGTTCTTACTTGTCTCTGTGTCTATCCTGCTCCCTGTAACTCAGAAGTGATTGGTTTTGGGTCACAACCTATGTGGATATGACCTTATTAGCATGAAGAAAACCCTAGTACCAAACAAGACTGCTTCTGCAGGCATAGGGGTTAGCATTCCATAGCGTATTTGTTGGGGGCGGGGATACAGTTCAACTCCTAACACCCAGTACAATTTGGATCAGGAAACTTTATGTCCCAGCTGTCTATCTGGGACCAGGACCATATAGATGGATTTCACAGCTTGTGTCCAGCATAACCCCAAACCCCTTTCTACTTACCCCCTTCTACTTGATGTAATGAAGTTTTATCCTTCTTTCTAATTTGTTTCCCTTGAATAACATACCTTTATTTTTTTCACTTGTTGTACCTTCAGGATTAAATACAAAGAGTGTTCTTTACATTGCTGTTATGTTGTTAAGCACCATTGAGTCAGTTCCGACTCACAGCGACCCTGTATAGGGTTTCTGAGGAACGGCTGGTGAGTTTGACCCGCCAACCTAGCGGTTCAAAGTGACCTTGTAGTCCAGCACATTAACCCACAGCACCACAGGACTCCTGTTCTTTCCATAGTCTAAGAAAATCTGAAGCGGGAATAGTTTTATTTGCTTATTTTATTTTTTTACACTATTTTTCCCATTTTCATATCATATATATATAGATAGATACATAGATATGTATTTATATGCATTATATGTATTTCTGAAGATAAAAATAACTGCCGTAGTGATTTTAGCATAGAGGAATCCACCTCATATAGGCAAAAGCTTATCATTTACTTGAAAGACTAATGACATTAGAACTGGTGTGAGCTAACTGTGTGGTGAAATCTGTTTTTGCATGTTTGGATCTGCAGGCCTACAAGACAATAAAAGATGACCAAAAAAGATACAGTGAGAGAGTTTCAGGGTTAGGGTTGACGCCAGAAGAGAAACAGAAAAGGGCCGCGTTGCCTGGTGAGTATCCACCTTGCCTCTCACTCTGACTTGAGACTCCATATACAAAGGGGAAATGAATGATAAACAGTAAAGGTGCTGTTTAAAAGATGTCTTCTAGAAGCAGTGAGGCTGTGAGGTAGGAAACTTCCAGAAACAATGGTTTTACCCCAGAATTGGCCAGTATTTGTTAAAGCATTCAGCTAGAATTTGGGTTTAAGAATACAGTGAGTGAAGACTTATGATTTTTGTTTTATTTTATATTAGACTCAAAAGATAAACTTTTTAACAAAGGCAGCTTTGGTGATTGTAATCTATTGGAAAAGAGATAAAAGCTAGTTTGGGTCTGTCATGTTCTACCTCTGAGACTTTGGAGTTTCACGTTATTACAGATGTATTTGTTTTCCTAAAGCCTTAGCTATCACTTCCATCCCAAATGATTTGCTTGATTTTTTTTTTTCCAAAGAGGAATGCTTTGATCCTTTAATAAGCCAAACAACTCTGGGTGGGTGATTTTTGCATTGGTTTCCTCAATAACATCGTATTCTCTTAACTATGTAATGATCCCCAGTTGATCTACTGGGTTTCCCCCCTTTCTTACTAACAAAAGGTGAAACTGAACTTGGGGTTTTCCTGTTGGTCATTAGGAAGTGAACGGGAGGGGCAGAAGCTGGAACCTGTACTTTATAGTACTTGTCAGAAATAATGAAATCTTTCAGTGAGGTTTCAGTTTTGGTAAAGAATGAATGACACTGGCAAATCATCCACGTCTTTGATATTTCTCATGTGTGAAAGTCAAAGGACTACTTGCTTAGCCTCTCCCCTCAGGCTGCTGGGGCGTTTGCTAACATTATGGTCGCTAGCTTTACATAAAGGATAGAGACAAGCGTTTTTTGTAATACTAGTGACAAGCAGTATTTTAGAAGGTTCACCCTGTCTGGATTCTTGCTTCCAGCCTCAGAAGGAGAGCCAGTTCCTCAAGTCAGGGCACCAAGTCATGTTCCTTTCCTGCTGATTGGAGGAGGCACTGCTGCTTTTGCTGCTGCCAGATCCATCCGGGCTCGGGATCCTGGGGCCAGGGTAAGGGGCACAGCATTGGGCTTGGTCCAGGAGGTATCGTCTGAAAGCACTTAGCCAATGTGGCCACTTGGACATGAGCCTTTTAGAAGATTTGATTCTGGTGAGTAGCGTTGTGTCTGTGTTAAAGGTACTGATTGTATCAGAAGACCCTGAGCTACCTTACATGCGGCCGCCTCTGTCGAAAGAACTGTGGTTTTCAGATGATCCCAATGTCACCAAGACACTACGATTCCGACAGTGGAATGGAAAAGAGAGGAGGTATGTGCACGTCTGTAAACTGGACCTCATGCACTCCTTAATTCATGCGCGGGGAGTGGGTTCCGACCATGTGCAGGGCGTGGGAGGGCTGATTTAGCTGCACACGGTGTTCAGCTGTGGCGCACACTTGCAGCAGCGGCAAACAATAGGCTGCATAGGCGAGAGTCCTGGACTCCGCTACCAGGCGTGGTGCTGTTCCTGCTCCTGGAGGGAGCCAGGACCTTTATAATTCCACTGCTCTAGTGGAAACAAGCTGCCCTGCACCGTCATGCCGTTAGACTTGCCTCGGCAGGTCTCTGTGAGACCCTGAGAAAGGGACTGTTGAATGGCATTTTCTCTGGCACCCTAGTAGGCATTGGCAATCCAGGAGGAGGGCTGGAAACACTTAGGAAGAGCTGCTTTGCCAAATGTGGCCTCAGGGACTGGGAGCCTCTTCCTTTGGAAGGACTCTTTGGATCTCTTGATTCCAGTACCGTGTGCTTTCCCGTTCATGGTCCTTTTGATTCTGGGCTGTATGTTACAGATCTCCCCACCTCTGTTACCCCCACTGTCATGGTCCATTTTGTAAGCAGGGTGCCTACTTCCAGTTAAGCTAGCCATTCCTTAATTAAGGTCTCAGAGTTAATTAAGAGATTAATCTCAAGAGGTAGACCTAGCTTTTCCACTGACCAGCACAATTCTGGACAGCTTAATTGGTGGATAGGTGAATGCCAGCTCCTTGGTCTTGCTTCTGGTTCTTACTTTGAAACGAACCTAAAACTAGAGCAGGGTCTCTCAATCTCAGTACTGTTGATGTGTGGGGCTGGAAAAGTCTTTGTCGTAGGGGTGGTTCTGTCTTCTAACAGTATCCCTGGCATCTGCCCACTAGATGCCACTAGCACTCCGCCCTCTTGTGACAATGAAAAATGTCTCCAGATACTGGCAGGTGTCCCCTGAGAGTAAAAGTGCCCCCAGTTGAGAGCCACCAATGTAGAATACCCCTGTGTAAACAAAATTTAGTGGCCTGACTTTGAAAGGAGACTTATCTTGGAAAATGTCCCTAAAATTATTTTCATGATGGAAACCATTGCACTTGAGTTTTGGTGGAAGCTGACAGGAATTCCAAGTACATGTAACATTTCCTCCCCCTCCCCCTTCTCTGTGTAGCATATACTTCCAGCCACCTTCTTTCTACGTCTCTGCTCAGGACCTGCCTCACATTGAGAATGGTGGTGTGGCCGTCCTCACAGGAAAGAAGGTGAGCTAGTAAGCGGCTTCCTTGTCAGGCATTATACCCTGACTGCTGTCTTTCCACTGCCATTTGTGGCTGTCCGATCTTTGTAGTTTACCAAAGAAGGATCGAGGCAGCATATTCAGTCTGACCATTGCCAACCCCAGCAGCACTGGTAGCACAATGGGCTAAGCATTGGTCTGCTAACCGAAAGGTTGGTGGTTTGAGGCCAACAGCTGCTCCGGGGGAGAAAGATGGTGGCAGTCTGCTTCCATAAAAGTTTACAGCCTCGGAACAGCTCTCCACTGTCGCTCTCCACTATCCAGTGGGCTCTCTGACTCGGCAGCAGTGGGGTTGCTTGTGTTTTTGGTTTCTCGCTAGTCCACGCTGTGTCCCGCTGGGGAACGCATATATTTATGTAGGGCTTGTGGGGATGGGAAGCGTTGTGGAAAACTGAGAAAGAGTGAATGTAATGGCTTCACTTGTTTTCATCAGACAGTTAGTTATCTGTGAGTGGAAAGTGTGGAGATTGAGTAGTGGGATTGGAGTGGAGGAGGACAAATGAAAGGAGGCCTCTGGAAAGCTTGACCCACCCTACGCCTGTCTTTTGTTCCTAGAACAACCAGCAGTGCCCCATTGTGGCATTTGTGATGATTGTTAGTGCTTTTTAGTATTCTTGTGTGCTGTCGAGTCACTTCCAGCTTTCAGTGACCCTGTAGGACAGAGACCCGCCCCATCAAGATTGTGCTGTTTATGAAAGTAGACCGCTACATTTTTTCCTAGAGTGACTGGTGGGTTTGAAACATAAACCTTCCAGTTAACAGTTAAGTGCTGTCGAGTTGGTTCCAACCCATAGCGAGCCTATATAGGGTTTCCAAGGAGCTACTACTAAGCTTGAACCGCCAACCTTGGGGTTCTAACCGACTTTGCAGTCTAGCACATTAACCCACAGTGCCACCCCAGTGCACTGGTAGTGCTTGTTAGACTGTCTTGACTACTAGACTGTGAAAGTCGTTCTCACTTACTGTAGCACTGGGCACACACATTGATTGCACCAAAAGCACACACATTGCCATTGAGTCGATTGAAGGCGCGCCCTGGTGGCACAGTGGATTCAGCGTTGGACTGAGAACCAAAAGCTCTGCAGTTTGAACCCACCAGCCTCTTTCTGAGGCTTTCTGCTTCCATAAAGACTGACAGCCTCAGAAACTCTATGGAGTAGTGGTACTCTGCCCCACAGGGTTGCTATGAGTAGGAATGGCACATAGTAGGTGCTTAATAAAGATTTCTTGAATGAATGGTTTTACAGCTAGTAAGTAATGGAGTGGACTGGAACCCTGATCCTCTCTGACTCCAAAGCTGGAGCTCTTAGCCACAAGAAGGACTAGAGTGCAAGGGCATAAGGGTGACAGTAAGAGCAATTTCAGTGATCTATACTTGGCCCAGATTAGTTGGGAAGGAACAACTGATCAACTGGAAAACTGGAAGCAAGTCTAGATGTGAGTGAAACTGAGAGAAAGCTGGAAGGACAGAATAGAAGGCCGAGCCAGGTTCCAAGGTCTTCGGTGACTGGACGAGTTTGTGTCCAAAATACTCCCACAGCCAATGTCTGTAATACTGAGGCCCAGGGGTTGGGGGAAGTGGGGAATGATTGCTCATGGGTTTCTTTCTGAGGAAAGAAAAATGTTCTAGAATTAGGTAGTGTGATGGTTATACAACTTAGTGAATATTCTAAAAACCACGGGACTGCATCCTTTGAATGGATGGGTTTTATGTTGTGTGAATTACAGCTCAGTAACAATTTGATTTTGAAAGCCAGCTCATCTCTCCCTTTCTCCTTTTGGTATGACTACACCAGGTGATCCATCTGGATGTGAGGGGCAACCTGGTGAAGCTTAATGATGGCTCTCAGATAACCTATGAAAAATGCTTGATTGCAACAGGTACGTGTTTCTGGAGATGGCTCTCTTCCCAGGTACAGTCCCTTCACGTTTTAGAGCCAGACCTTCTCTCCAGAAGGCCTTATTTACCCAGAAGCAAACAGAAGTGTACAGACCCTGAAGTGGGCATCTTCTCTCAGTGCAGTGCCCTTCTGAGTTACCCTTGCTGCTCCTTCCAGTGATGGCATGGGGGTGTGTAGACGAAGGCTGCCTTCTACCCCACTGCCCTGTGCCCTGAAAGTGGTAGAGTGTGTGGCTTCATTGTCAGTTCCAATCAAGATGGAAGACTTAAAACACACACACATAAAAGCTGCTGTCATTGAGTCCATTCTGACTCATGGTGGTCCCGTGTCGGAGTAGAACTGTGCTCTGTAGGGTTGGAGTGGCTAGTTTGGGGGGAAGTAGATTGCCAGTGTTTTCTTCCAAGGTGCCCCTGGATGGGTGTGAACCAGCAACCTTTTGATCAATAGTTGAGCGCTTAACCAATCGTACCTCTCAGGGACTTCCAAAAGCCCAAAGCAGTTTCTTGAAATGGAAGGGGGCCTTTTGACTATGAGAAGGATGGGGCCCTTGAAGGGAGCCTCTCAAATCTGCTTCTCAGAGGAAATGGATAAAAGCTTGCTGTGTAGCGAGGAGAAGGAAAACAGAGGCGTCACATCCTGTTGATGCTGCGTTGACCCTGGCAGGGAGCACACACCACAGCCCAAGAAGAAGTTAGCCCCGCCTCTGTTGGATGATTCTTCGGGCCAGCTTCTGCTTCTTAGGCTAACGAGGTTTCCTCCTCTGACTTCCAGGAGGCACTCCAAGAAGCCTGTCTGCCATTGACAGGGCTGGAGCAGAGGTGAGGAGCAGGACAACGCTGTTCAGAAAGGTAAGTGTCTGCTGTGATGCTTTCACTGTGTTGGTTTTTTAAAAGGAATTTTAATCTTGGGGTCCCAAATACCCACCTGGGATTTGGGAGATCCAGGTTCTGTGTATGGCCCTCCTATAGACAGTCCTTTCCCCACTCCATGCCTCAATTGCCTCGCTCGTGTTATAAGCTGCTAAGAGAAAAGGTTTGTTTGGTGTTTTTATTGCACACTGGTTTCTTCCGATTGCTTTTCCAGCATTGTTTTTCCTGATGCATTTGATTCACGGGCACTCTTTCTAGCCTCTTGGCATTTTTCATAGCAAGTGCTCTTATTGAGACTTTGGGGAGAAAAGTTGGAGCACCTAAGTCAAAAGGGAAAAGGGGTGTTGCTTCTTCACATCATGCTTTGTTTATCAAACAAAACCACTATTGTGGCTATTTGATAAGATTTGCTCTTGATAGAACAGGTTTGTCAGCCTGTTCTGTTGTGGGGCTGTCCTGTGCATCATGACAACCAAAAATGTCTCCAGACATTGACAGATGTCCCTTGGGGGGAAAGGTAGTGAGGGGATTGAGAACCACTGTTGAGAGAAAAGCAATGTTTCAAATGACATTGGAGGGAAAAACTGGTACAGTGATGTAGAGGCTATAATGGAGCCGCTTTCTCCAAGAAGATTTTATCTGCAAATTATTGTCGTCAAGGAGTTCAGAGACAATACTTCCTAGGTTTATAATCCTAGGCCCCCTTGGGTTGGAAAGTCATTGGGTAAATCGGAGTGTTCCTGCAGATTGGAGACTTCAAATCCTTGGAGAAGATCTCACGAGAAGTCAAATCGATTACGATTATTGGTGGCGGCTTCCTCGGTAGCGAACTGGCCTGTGCTCTTGGGAGAAAGGGTGAGTCTTGGGGAGCAACTGTGTTATCTTTCTCTAGTCTTGTATCACGTGCTTTTTGGTGGACTCTCACAAAATCCAGGGACGGATTTGCCAGGATCCTTGAAAAGCATTTCATTAAGGTTCATGTAGAGAAAAGTTAAGCACTGAAATTAGTTCCATTGTGGGATCCCTCAGTGACTGAAAAACTGTCATCTGAGCAACTTAGCAGGGGTACGTACCATCCTCCTTCATTCTGGCCTCTAGGGGAAGACTCCTTAGAAATAAAATACAAAGTGAGTTATTCAGATAGGAAAGGCGCTGAAGGCTACAGAAATGTCTGTCTCTTGCAGCTGTTGCTCCTTGTAAAAAAGTCCAAACCTCCCTTCATTCACATGATGACTTTCAGCTTGACAGATCTGTGAACCATGTCTCTTTTTTTAAAAAAATTAGTTGATTTCGTTTTGTTGTTGAAATATACACAGCGGAGCACACACCAGTTCTACAGTTTGTGCACATCTAATTCAGGGACACTGTTTACATTCACACCCTCCTTTTCTGAGTTGTTCCTCCCTCATTATCAGAAAATCATTGCCCCCTCAGCTCCCTAGCTAACCTTTCAAGTTGCTGTCCATTTGACCCCATATCAATGGTTCTTTCAGAGAGCACAGTACTCGGGGCAGACAGTCTTTATTAAGTAAGCTAAGCTGTTGGCAGCCATTTGTCTTAATGGAATTCTTCAGCTTCTCAGGAGGGTGCTTACTCTTCAGAGATCCCAAAGCACTTGGGCAAGCCTACAGTGACCACATGGGTGTAAGTGCACCCGAGTTCACTGTCGGGAGTCTAACGGAGGAACAATGCTTCTGGCACTGGTTGTATTTGCCTGATGAATGAACGCCAGCACCATGGCCCTCTGCCCCATTGCCCCATGATGGGAGCTCTGGCCTGGATTGCATCTTTGCCCTGTGTTTAGACCATGGCTGCTGATTGTGACTTGATTTTTCTTCTGACTTTCCTTGGGTTGCTTTCTGCTAGACCTACTCTGTTTCTTCTTTGCAGCTCAAGCCTTGGGTACAGAAGTGATTCAACTCTTTCCTGAGAAAGGAAACATGGGGAAGATCCTCCCTGAATACCTCAGCAACTGGACCATGGAAAAAGTCAGACGAGGTAGAGCGACTTCTCCATAGGATGCCCCTCTCTTTCTTCTGTGTTAGGCCGACTGCAAAAAGTGTGCTTCTTGACCTGAGCACTGTCACCTAGCTGCTGAAATGCTTCCACCATTCTCCAGTCAGCCAACTTTATGGCAGGCTTCGGGATCAGAGGTAGTACATTCTCTGAAGTGCTCTCCAATGTTGCCCAGGTCCTGATGGTTCTTGGTTTCACAACGGGATGCCTCTTGTAGTGTCCCTACTTTCCAGGGCAGTGGTAGGCGGACACGCTCAGCCTTAGGTCTTGTTTACCGTTACAGAGGGGGTGAAGGTGATGCCCAGTGCGATTGTGCAATCAGTTGGAGTCAGCGGTGGCAAGTTACTCATCAAGCTTAAAGACGGCAGGAAGGTAAGGAGGGGAAGAGAGATCTTTCGGCCTGTCTCCCCCGTCCTCATTTTGTTTCCTGCATTTGATACCAGTAGATTCAGCTTCTTGGCAGCCGTCATTATCCTGTTATCCTTTTCAGAATTCACTGCCCCTTCCTTGTTGTGTACATCATAACAAATTGTGGATAACATTGCAAAGAATGGGAATTCCTAGAACACTTCATCGTGCTCATGCGGAACTTGTACGTAGACGAAGAAGCAGTCATTGGAACAGAACAAGGGGATACTGCGTGGTTTCAAATCAGGAGAGGTGTGCGTCAGGGTTGTAGCCTTTCACCAGACTTATTCAATCTGTAGTCTGGGCAAATAATTAGCGAAGCTGGAATATGTGAAGAACGTGACATCAGGATTGGAGGAAGTCTGATTAACAATCTGCAATATGCAGATGACAGAATCTTGGCTGCTGAAAGCAAAGATGGTTTCAGGCACTTACTGATGAAGATCAAAGAATACAGCTTTCAATATGGATTACACCTCAACATGAAGAAAACAAATTTCCATACAACTGGACCAATAAATAGCATAGTGAGAAACAGGGAAAGGAATGAAGTTGCCAAATATTTCATTTCACTTAGCAGTCAAGAAATCAAATGACATATTGCATTGGGCAAATCTGCTGCACAAGATCTCTTCAAAGTGTTCAAGAGCAAAGATGTCAGTTTGAGGACTAAGGTGTGCCTGGCCCCAAGCCATGATATTTTCAGTTGCCTCATATGCACATGAAAGTTGCACAATGAATAAGGAAGACTGTAGAATAAATGATGCATTTAAGTTATGGTGCATATGGAGAAGAATATTAAAAGTGCCATGGACTGCCACAAGAACAAACAGATGTGTGTTAGAAGAAGAAATACAGCCAGAATCCTGCTTAGAAGTGAGGATGGCAACGCTTCATCTCTCATGTGCTTTGGACATATTATCTGGAGGCACCAGTCCCTGGACAAGGACTTCATGTTTGGCAAAATGGAGGGTCAGTGGAAAGAGGAAGACCCCCAATGAGATGGAGTGGCGACAACAGTGGCCTCAAACATAACCACAATTGTGTGGATGGTGCAGAACCGGGCTGTGTTTCCTTTTCTTGGATGTGGGGTTGCTATGAGTCAGAACCACCGTGACAGCACCTCACAATAATTGTCCCGTGATTAAAATATTAGAGTCAGAGTAGTCACTTGTAAACCGCTTTCCTTGGGCCTCTTCCTATCTGTGGCACAGATTTTCAAGTCTGTGGCAGATTTCTCCTCATGTAATATGGAGTATGTGTGTGTGGGGGGTGGGGGGGTACCTCTTTGAAGTAGAATATAAAATCTGTTTATCAGAGGGAAATTAACCAATACTCTTTTTAAAAAGCCCCTATTCCTAGTGATGCAATATGCACTTGTTGTATCTGTAGACCTAAGTGGAAATTGTGGTAGGTGACTAAATTCTTTCTTTTTTTTCCCAGGTAGAAACTGATCACATAGTGGCAGCTGTGGGCCTGGAGCCCAATGTTGAATTGGCCAAGACTGGCGGGCTAGAAATAGACTCAGATTTTGGTGGCTTCCGGGTAAATGCAGAGCTTCAAGCACGCTCTAACATCTGGGTGGTAAGTGCGAACATCTCTGCCCCACGTGGGTGAACCTCACCCCCAGCATAACCTAATAGGGGAAAGTGGAGGGTAGAGAATAGAAGCCTGTGAACGGCTTGATTTACTAGGTCAGCTATGGCCTCTGGCTACAAGCTAGTAGCAAGTGAAATGAACAGTGTGAGAGCCCTTCCGGCTAGACCCAGCATCTTGGCTGATCCTTTGCCTTCCCCTTTGCTCCCGCGTGAGTCTAGGGAATGAGGGCAAAGCAGCTTTATTCCGTATTCCTTAGAAAGGAAAAGCACTCCTTTCCCATTTTCCTTTCAGTACTATTTTTAGTTGTTTTTAAAAATCTTTAATGACACAAACAAGACTGTAGTATGGAGGAACCCTGAGGTCATTTCCCCCATTGTTAGAACATTACAAGTGTATTGTGCTTGGTTATGGGTTCTGCAACCAAGGGCATAGGCACAATCGAGGTAGGGTGTTTCTCTCTTTCAGTTTTTTTTTTTAAGATAAGTGTGCTAAGTTTTTTATTTAGGTTTTTTTAACTTGTAAACGTACTACATGCTCACTATAGAAGAAACAAATAAGAGGGAGAAAGAGGAAAAATCTTTACTTGGTTTGCTTGTGCACGGGCTTTCTCCTTTGTTTCACCTGGTCGTGATGAGCTTGTGATATAGAAACATTTGTTTCCTGTGTGTGTGTGTGTATGTGTTTTTTTCCCCTTAACACCATAATATAAGTCTTCCCCACATTACTTCAGACTTTGTTAACAGTTGAATGACTGGCTAATATTCCATTAAGTGGATTTCATAGTTGAGTTTGCTGTTGTTCACTTGTTGGCTTTTGAAGGTTGCTCTGGGGGAGTCTGAATAGTCACAAAGATGAGCAAAGAGTTAAAGATCTCAAATACCACATCCTTCGTGAAGCTAGGGGCTCTCCCACTCTCGATTGGAAACACTGTGCTCAGTTCAGCTGAAGCTCTCCTCCATCACCCTTGCAGCTCGGACCTACCCTTTACCTTTCTCACCCAGGTCATGCACTGCTCGTAGGCAAAGTCCACGTCCGTTCATCTCTGCAATCCAGACACCAGCCTAGTCTGTCCACAATAAGTACTCAGTCAATATTTGTGGAGTGAGTGAATGCTGAATAACCCCCAAGAGCCTACCTTGAGAAAGGCTTATAGATAGAGGCAGTCACATTGAAAAGCTGGTCTTCACCATCATAGAAAACAATAGTCTGCAAATCATGGTCATAAAAGAGCCTGTCTCTGATACGGGCAGAATAAGAAGAACTAGGCTTCGGCTGTAGTATATGAGATTTTGGTTAGCTGGGTGGAAGCATAGAATACAATTTAATCGCTAGAATCTCGACTCTTTCTGATAGTTTAGATATTTTTCTAGACTGTCAGTGGAAACCATTAATATGTTGGCATCACAAGGGTCCTTTGAGCCCCCTATCCAAATTACGTTGTCTTTAACTTGCTTCTTTCTTCTCTTGTGTTCATGTTCTGTGTTTGTTTCCAAAGGCAGGGGATGCGGCATGCTTCTACGATATCAAGCTGGGTAGGAGGCGGGTAGAGCACCATGATCACGCTGTTGTGAGCGGAAGGCTGGCTGGAGAAAATATGACAGGTGCTGCTAAGCCATACTGGCACCAGTCAATGTTCTGGTAAGAGTTGTGTGCCTTGGGGATTCAGTTTGTTAGAATGCAGAATCAATGGAACCAGGAGTATGGTTTAATTTCCTTGTGGGCCCATCAGCTTCTTACGCGAGGGGGTGATTTCATCTCATCTCATCGTGTCCATGCGTTCTAACCCTGAGTGACCATTCTGGTAAAAATGTCCTGAGTGGTGTCAGGCTCAGAGTGTGACCTGCAGCCGGTGATACCAGAGTGTCCTCTTAGATATGTTGTTAAGTGTCTTCAAGTCAGTTCTGACCCATAGTGACCCTGTATAGAGTTTCCAAGGAGCAGCTGGTGAGCTTGAACTGTCGACTTTGTGGTTCAAATTTACTTTGCACTCCAGCACATTAACCTACAATGCCACACCAGGATTTCCCTCTTATGTGTGCTGCTGGTGGTGGTGGTGGTGGTGCTGTGTCGTGGAGTCGATTCCGACTCATAGCTACCTTGCAAGGGTTCCCAAGGCTGTAAATCTTTACAGAGCAGAAAGTCTCATCTTTCTCCCTTGGAACAGCTGGTAGTTTCAAACTGCTGACCTTGAGGTTAGCAGCCCAACTTGTAGCCACTACATTACCAGAGCTCCTTGTCTTAGGTGTACACGCTAGCATATTTTATTTTGTTTGGTGCTACTAAAACCTTAATGAGCACAACACACTGACAGAGACGGGCCACTCGTTTGGAACCCGTAAGATCAGCACTTCAGAGACAGGCACACAGAGGCACTTCTTTGCGTAATGAAAAGTCAGCAGTGGCCATTCCTGAGGACCAGAGCTGGCCCTAGTTGACTCATTTGTTGATTTGAAAGATGGGCTACAACAAAATTTAAAAAAAAAAAAAAAAGTGTCAAGGTTTCTGAAGCCTCTAAGCTGCTCCAGCTTGAGAAATTCTCAGCTGATGGGAGTACGTTTTAGGGAGATCACACAGAATTTTATGTGTGGGCAGCAAAAAAAATAACATGAATTTCAGGGTCAACTCATGTGAGATACTGCAGTTAGGAAAAATAGTCCTTAACTGTACAATTATCAGTTAAGGCCCAGAAACAGGATCCAAGGAGTCATTGTAGACTAGTCCGTGAAGACAGCAGTCCAGTGTGCCCCTGTGGCCAAGAAGATAACAGTGCAGACACCAGAAACAAAGCAACTTAAGTGTCCTCAACGATTCTAAAGCCGTGGTGCCCAAAATAGTCCGTGAGGTTCCTAGCACATTACCAACGGCATGATGATGATAGGAAACGTTCCCAAGGAGAACAATAAAAATAAAATGACCAAAAGATGAAGGTATCTCTTTATAAGAAAGCATATTCTGGTCTTGGAAAATGAAGGCTCAGAAGAAATACTGCCAGTTAGCAGAACCAATCTAACACCTCAAATTCTGCATTCCACAAATATGGTGGCACTCTTTAAAGCTTCAGAAAGGCAGTTTCAGGACAGCAGGACAGGTTAAAGGAAGGCTGTTGTTTTTTGTGTACATCTGCCCCCCCCCAAAAAAACAAAAAAAAACAGGGACTAGAAGCAAATACTGTTGAATGATGATGCACGGAGGAGATTGTAATCATTACAATGAAACGAGGAGTGTAAACCCGATGTTCTCCCATGCAAACTATCACTGAATTCACAATAAAAACTTAAAAAAAAAAAACGGAAGACCTTTGTTGTTAAGTGCCATCATATTGGTTCCCATCCATAGCGACCCTGTATAGGGTTTCTGAGGAGCAGCTGGTGGGTTTGAATTGCTGACCTTGTGGTTTGCAACCCAGTGCTGATTCTCCAGTGCCACACCAGAAGTCCTAAAGGAAGGTTGTTGTTGTGAAAGTGTGTTGAGTCAGTTCTGACTCATAGCAACCCTGTATAGGGTTTTCGAGGAGCGGCTGGTGACCTTGAACCATCGACTTTGTACTTCAAATTGACCTTGCAGTCCAGCACATTAACTCACAGCAGCAGACCAGGTCAGGTGTTCAAACCCACCAGTTGCTCCATGGAACTGACTCCACAGAACTTAACAACAATGCAAGTATAGTAACAACTCAAAGCTCAAAAAAAATAAATATTTAAAAAATAGATATTTTAATTCTGAATTGACTAGAACAAAAAGATCAGCTTATATGGTACCTTTGGTATGGGTTGCACCTCAATGTAAAGAAAACAAAAATCTTCACCACTGGACCAATAAATAACAACCAAGTAAATGGAAAAAAGATTGAAGCCGTCAAAGACTTCATTTTACTTGGATCAACTGTCAGCACTCATGGAAGCAGCAGTCAGGAAATCAAACAACATGTTGCATTAGCAAATCTGCAGCACCAAGATCTCTTTAAAGTACTCAAGAGCGAAGATGTCAGTTTGAGGACTAAGATGCGCCTGACCCAAGCCATGGTATTTTCAATAACCTCATATGCCTGTGAAAGTCGGACAGTGAATAATGAAGACCATGGAAGAATTAATGCATTTGAGTTATAGTGTTGGAAGAGAATATTGAAAGTACCATGGACGCCAAAAGAATAGATCTGTGTTGGAAGAAGTACAGCTAGAGTGCTCCTTGGGAGCCAGGATGGCCAGAGTTCGTCTCTCATTCTTCTGGCATATTATCAGGTGGGACAAGTCGCTGGAGAAGGATATCATATTTGGTAAAGTGGAGGGTCAGAGAAACAGAGGAAGACCCCCAACAAGATGGACTGGCACAGTGGTAGCAGCAATGGACTCAAATGTAGCAACGATTGTGAGGTTGTGCACTGGATCTCTGAGTCGGTATCAACTAAATGGTACCCTAAGAACAACAGCAACATTATGATCCACATGGAACTACCCTAACCTGAAAACAAATTCTGAGCTAAGGGACCCTGGTTTAAAAATGTTAAATGCCATCATAACAAATGAAATTAGTACAACAAATGAAATAGTAAAAAACAAAAACAAAGGAAGGTGGTGGTGGTTATGTGTTGTCGGTTATGTGGAGTCGGTTCTGACTCGTAGTGAGCCTGCATAGGGTTTCCGAGGCTGTAACTCTACGGGGGCAGGAAGAGTCACCTTTCTCCTGTGGAATGGGATGGCTGGTAGTGTCGAACTGCTGACCTACCAGAGCTTCTTTAAAGGGTGTTGTTAAGTCCTGTCAAGTCGATTCTGACCCATAGCGACCCTGTATAGGGTTTCCAAGGAGCAGCTGGTGAGCTTGAACCACTGACCTTAAAGCTCAAAAAAACTTTGCAGTCCAGCACGTTAACCCACAGCGCTACACCAGTACTCCTAAAGGTGAATGGTAAAAGTGTAGAACTCATCACTCCCCAAATATTTGCACCGTTTTCTGGCTAGGTGATGTGGATAATGGCTTCTTAAGGAACGTAAAAGCTGAAACAATATCATCCTGTTTTCTGATGATTGTCCCTTGCTACCCTAGTGGGAGACAGAGGACTTGGATGTTTCTCTTGTTCTTTGGCTGGTATCAAAGTGCTGGGTGTTAGAATCCCTTGCTAGAAACCCGTCTTCTCTCTCCTGCCTTAGGAGCGATTTGGGCCCTGATGTTGGCTATGAAGCTATTGGCCTCGTGGACAGTAGTTTGCCCACAGTTGGTGTTTTTGCAAAAGCAACTGCACAAGACAACCCCAAATCTGCCACCGAGCAGTCAGGTAAGGGAGTCCATCACTTTTCTTGGGAGAGTGGTGAGAAGCAGTGGTTCTAGTTTTCCTGAACAAGGGGTCTCTGTATTGGATCCGACAGTGAGTCTGTCTTCATGGTGCGCTTTAAGAGAAACCAAGTCCAAAGTCTCCACTTTATTTATAGTCATCTGAGCTCGGGCAGAAGCTGTTTCCTGGTCAAGGCATAGTCTCAGAGATTGTGGGTCTCTGTGCTAGCGGCCGGCCTGACAGTTCTGTGTGACGAAGAAGAAACTCTTTTTGTATTTTGGTTTTTGCTGCCTGCTTATCCTGGGAAGGACCTGCTGACCCCCATGAGTCCTAGGCAGTGAGTACTGGACTGGGAAGTCCTCGTGCTGCCACGAATTCCAAGTGTGATTTAGATGGGAGGCACCTCTTTTGGAATGGACTTGTCTCCCACACACATCTTTTTCATTAACTCCTAGGCCTTGCTCTCTCCCCCTCCTCTGACCTTGCCTCATGTTATTTAACCTCAGTGTCCTTTTGCCAGAGGTGTTTCAAGGGCAATTAGTTCTTTTAAGAAGATAAAAAGTGAGATCCGTGCCTCTGTAGGGCCTTTTCCTATGTAATTTAAATGTTCCACATGTCCCCACTCCTTAATTCTGACCTCTCCTGGGAAATGGAGACAGCAGAGGAGTCAGGCCTTTCTAAATTCCAGATCACTGCTCTGGCCACTGGGTAGTATTACTCGAAGCCTGGTTGTTCTCAGCAGGCAAATTGCCCCCTCCCACATCGCCATTTCCCTCCTCCTCCTCCTCCAGGAAGAATCACCTTGACTAGGTTTCTCCTGTACGGAAGCTGCCTTTTCTGGCTTTGCTCAAATGTCTCTCTAACAGTGTTGTCTGTGAGAACTTTCTACACGGATGGAAATGTTCTATCATTGCTCTGTTCAGTTCATTAACCACCAGTCATATGGCTATTGGATACCTGAAATGTGACTCGTGTAATTGAGGAACTCAGTTTTTTATTTTATTTAACTGTAATTAATGTGAATTTAAATAATTACATGTGGCTAGCTGATGCCATACAAGAGTGTTTTTCAGAGGGTACCAGCAAGTCTTCTGTAGTGAATCATGTCTTACTAAGCAAATGTTCTGCTTAGTAAATTCCATTGTTGAGCGAATGAACAGCTAAATAAGAAATCCTGATATCAGGAAGTAGCTATGGCCTACATATAAAAGTAGATGCTGGGAGCGGGGAGTCACTTGGGGCCAAAGTGACCCAGTACCCAAGAGCTGACAAGGAAGAACTTTCCTGGGCTTTGTCAATGGAAAGAGGCTGGAAAAAAGGTTGAGGGGACATAGAAAAGCAAGTAATCTTGAAGCAGGTTTCTAAAGGCATTTATCTTCTAGAATTTTGTAAGTTCATAGTAACTGAAGTTTTGCCTTTGTGTGTGTGTTGGGGACTGGCCACAGGAACTGGAATCCGATCAGAAAGCGAAACAGAGTCGGAGGCCTCAGAAATCGCTATTCCTCCAAGCAACCCGGCACCTCCACAGGTCCCCATTCAAGGGGAGGATTACGGCAAAGGTGTCATCTTCTACCTCAGGGACAAGGTGGTGGTGGGGATCGTGCTCTGGAACATCTTTAACCGAATGCCAATAGCAAGGAAGGTAGGTGCCTGTCAGAATTCTGAGAGGAAGAGGGGAGGTGCCGGTGGGGAACTGTCCCTGTGACTTCATCAAGTGCCCTCTCTGATAAGCACTGTCTGCCTGGGTCCCATAGCACTCAGGCAGAAGGAACGGATAGCCTTGGCTTGGGAACATTCCTTTTTTGACTTGGGACTTGACTGGGTGGTCGGCGAGTTGGCACCCTGCTCATACTGGGTTAATAGAAAGCTGCTTCACGACTTCCACGTGGTGTGCTGCACAGACTGGCCTGTAGGCACATGGAGTGAGTGACCCTGGGTTACTTGTTCCCTCAGATCATTAAGGACGGTGAGCAACATGAAGATCTCAATGAAGTAGCCAAGCTCTTCAACATTCATGAAGACTGAAGCCCCACAGCGGAGCAGAGCGGGCCAGCACTTCTCCGTTTGTCTGTCCCTGGCAGCGAGGAGCATGGGGACCGGCGCCGTTTTTTATTGAGCTTCCTCCTCCTGTGTGTCTGAGTGTGAATGATCAAGTCCCTTGTGAATATTTTCAACCATGTAGATGAATTCTTAATGTTCACATCTCTAAATAAAAAACCTGACTCTTCTAAATTAAATTCTGGTCTCTTTTAAGCAGGGAGTGAAGGGAGGATAGCTAGGCATGTGAGCACGCCGGCAGATGGGAGTCACTGTGAAGTGTGTGGCTTCTCAGCCCTGTGGTCCCCACTCGAGACTTCTGTCCATTTCCCAAACTCTTCTCAGCAACCCCTGTGGTCTCGGCCTGTAACACTTGACCTTGTAACTTCTGACCCCTGACCCCTGCTCTAAGGACATGCCCTACTTCTATGAAGACTTGCCTGGCCCTGCTGTCCCACAAGGGGTGGGGATGGGAATGGGCAGAAAAGACCTATGTCACAAAAGGATGGCTTCAGAGGCCTGGGCATCGCAGGTGCCTGGAGGGAAATGCACCCTTGAGGGATCATAATTGCTGACTCCCCTGCTCACTGCCCCTCAAAACTATAGAAATTGCTCCTCTCCCAACCCCTTTCATCTAAAACACGCTTTTAGCATACCTGACTTCAAAGATAATTTCCTGAAAGTCAAAGTGTCATCAATCAGCTCTTCGTTTTTACATTTTTAATCACCTAGTTTTTAAAATTCAAATCATATTTTAATTAAGAGGAAACTTGTATGACTTTCAAGAGTCCTATTATGAATCTATTTGTAAAGAGACAATGACTCCCAGTTTGGGTATTTTTTTCTGTTGGGCTTGTTTACTTAAAGGAAATTGCAGGCTATACAGTGAGGCTCTTCCTGATATTAGGAGAACAGGCTCTGCGTAGACAGGTTTAGTGAGTTATGATCTGATGCCTGATAAAGCCAGAGCCACAGGTAAAAGACTCATTCAGCATCCTGAGAAACAGAGACTATCACTCAGTAATGACTGCTGCTTACAAAGACACAAAACTCCTGGCATGCCCCATAAATCATTTTAAGAAAAGATCAAATTGTCTTCGTGTTAATGTGCAATTTAAATCTTTGACAGTTGTCATAAGGTGTCTTAGGCTGGGTTCTCTAGAGAAGCAAAACCAGTGCTACATTTATACAACCTTGCTTGCTGAAAGTGAAGAGGACTTAAAATACTTATTGATGAAAATCAAAGAGCACAGCCTTCAGTATGGGTTGCATCTCAATGTAAAGAAAACAAAAATCCTCACCACTGGACCAATAAACAACATTCTTACCTACGGAGAAAAGGTTGAAGTTGTCAAGGACTTCATTCTTCTTGGATCAACTATCAACACTCATGGAAGCAGCAGTCAAGAGATCAAATGACGTATTATTGCATTTGGCAAATCTGCTGCACAAGACCTTTTTAAAGTGTTGAAGAGCAAAGATGTCAGCTTGAGGACTAAGGTGCGCCTGACCCAAACCATGGCATTTTCGATAACCTCATATGCATGCGAAAGCTGGACAGTGAATAAGGAAGACCATAGAAGAATTGATGCTTTTGAGTTATGGTGTTGGAGGAGAATACTAAAAGTGCCATGGACTGCCAAAAGAACCAATAGATCTGTTTTGGAAGAAGTGCAGCCAGAGTGCTCCTTGGAGGCCAAGATGGCCAAACTTCGTCTCTCATACTTTGGACATATTGTCAGGAGTGACCAGTGGCTGGAGAAGGATATCATGTTTGGTAAGGTGGAAGGTCAGAGGAAAGAGGAAAAGACCCCCAGCGAGATGGATTGACAAAGTGGCAACATCAGTGGACTCAAGCGTGGCAACAATTGTGAGGTTGGCCCAGAATCAGGCAGTGTTTCGTTCTGTTGTGCATAAGGTCACTGTGAGTCGGGACCAACTCGATGGCAACTAACAACAACAACATATGAAGAGAAGTTTATATTAAGAAAATGGCTCACGATTATAGATATAGGAGCGTCCCAAGTGTAGGCCAGGCAAGCCAAGATTGGCGGGCGGCTCTGGAAGACAGCCCAATTCGGGACACAGAGCAAAACCTTGGCACTGGAGTAGGGACGGCAGTAGGGTGAGCAGAACCGGTAGCGCAGAGCACACGAGTCAGGGCGACAGGAACAGGTGTGCAGGCATACTCGGTGGGCAGGCCCAGCAGACAAGAACACAAGAGCAGGCCGCTAGCTCAGGTTCAAAGAACTGGAAGTTGGAGGACGACCCAGATGCAAGATCCAGACCCTGCAGGGAAGAGTGTGAGTCTTTACTGCATGTCCATTATATTGGGAGCAGGCTACACCCCCAAGGAAACATCCTTTCAATTGATTGGCTGCTCATAGCCAATCATCATAGCGTTAACTATCAACTGCCAAACAACTGGGAATCCTGGCTCAGTCAAGTTGACACAGAACCTAACTATCACATAAGGCATGTAATTGTAATTCAATTAAAATTAAATAGTTGGTGGAAGAACAAGGTAGATAGGGGAACACTGAGACAGGTTTGCATGTCCTAAGTGGCACAGAGGTAAACAGTGATGCATGCTCAACCTTGGAACAACAGGACTCTGAGATACAGGGATCTAGGTATATCTTGAAGAGGGAAAAGAATACTAAAATGCTTGACTGTCTTATGAATATTGGTTTCCCTTGCCTGTTGTTGTTAAGTGCCATCGAGTCGGTTCCGACCCATAGCGACCACAGGGTTTCTAAGGCTGTAAATCTTTACGGGAGCAGAAAGCCTCATCTTTCTCCCGCAGAGCAGCTGGTAGTTTCGAACTGCTGACCTTGCAGTTCGCAGCCCGATTGTAAAATAGACGCTTGAGTGGGATAGAAAGGAATGCTGGGAAACATGATTAGAGAAAACTTGTAAGCCTGCCTTCAGCCTATAACTGATTGGAATACCTAAAAGCGGTTCTAGAGCTTACCCAGTGAAGTAGGCCTCATGCAAAGCCTTTACAAAGTATAGGACCTTAGGTGGAATCCTGAGTCCCATCCAGAACCTTATGAGAGGTGGGACATTCCCACTAGCAAGGACAAGCAGACCAGCCTGGAACAGCTCCAGTGACAGAAGATACATCTTCAAAGAAAGATCATCAGGAAAAACCCAAAACAAAAATGTCAGCATCACTGGCTAATACAAGAATAAGCCAGCTGCTCATCAGGAAGACATCAAGGCTAATAATCAAGTGCCTTCAGGACAAACTCCCACCTAAGACTGAAACTCAAAGGGAACACATGAGCAGGCATGTAAGCTTGCTGGCGACCACATTGGTCTACTGGTGCGTGGAAGAGGGGGAAAGACAGCAATGAAGAAATGGGCTGAGTTCAACCACAGTCCATTGACTCCCGTTGACCTGGAGATGACAGAAAGAAGAGGAAGGGCTAGTTGGTCCAAAGTGTGGTGAGACCAGAGGACACTTGAGCCCACAGACAAGGATATAGCCACAGAGGGCTACAGCTGAGAGTGAAGCATCCAGCTGATTTGAAGTGAGGGGAGATGCACAGAACACCCAAACTTGCAGACAGTACCCTTTTAACCTAACCTAGATGGCTCGATAATCAGAACTCGACTAGAGGAAGATTACACACACACACACACACACACACACACAAAAAAAATTTTTTTTTGGATAAAAGAAGCAAGGGTCAATTGCTACAATTTGATGAACCTGACCTATACTCAGAGAGGTAGTTACTCTAAATACCAACAGAGAGGGAAGGAGTCTTCACATCAAGTATCAATGCTATCCCCTCTATACACAGGGTAGATAGGGACAGGCAACTTAGACATTGGCTACCTAAGATGAGGGGGCGATAAAGGCACGAAGTGACTTGCTTACAAGGTTTCAAGAGGGAGTTTAGTTTAAGAGTATGGGGGGGAAAGAAAGAGTCCCCACTGAATAGATTTCATCTTGTCTAGATGAGATTGGTGAAAAGAGATGGGGATAAGATTTGTATGATTCAATAGTGAATAATTGTTATCATGAGTAATTGTGACTGTCACACTTGTAAAGGTAGAAGTTTTGTAACAAAAACAGGAGACTGGTTAATCTTACAGTCCAGAAACAGAGGACCCTAGGACCATCAAGTGAGAAGCGCACAAGCAGAATGCGGGACCTTATCCAGAGAAGCAGCAGTGCCAGAGATGGAGGCAGAGATGGAGACATAGAGAGGGGGAGTGGCTGAGGACTCTAGATTCATGGGACGAGAGGGACTAAGAGCTGGTGGCCAGGAGGCAGACTTGCAGATTGTGCCCTTTGGACATGTAAATTATTATATATGCCTGAGTGGGGTTTTTTGGGTTTGTTTTTTAAAAAGTTAAAGTGGATAGAGAGAAATACTGTTAACTGATGGTACATGGAGGGGATTATAATCATTGTAATGAAACAAGGTGTATGATTTGTTGAATGTAAAACTGATGATCTGCCCTGTAAACTTTCACTCAATCCACAATAAAAACCTTAAAAGAAAAAGAGTTCAAGGAAACTCGTCACAAACAGACAAAATAAATGGTTGGTACTGGCTGACTAGAGGCTTGTGGAACCCCTGAGACTCTAGTCCTTACTCTGGAAACGAGCTCACCCTCATGGCTTAAATTTCAGCCAAACAATAGAGAGGTCTACATGGTGAGGTCTACATACATGGTAAACACAAACACCAGGGAGGTATGCACACATACATATAAGGTGCATGGACAGCAAGCGGGAAAAACAAATGATTAGTGCTCATTGGGTGTCTATTCTGAGCCGGGAAAGTGTGAGATTAGGAAGGCAGAGAACGCATACCCACTACTGCTGAGGAATGACTGTTGTCACTGAGGACGACAGACATGGGAAGGCATAATCAGAGTGCCATAAGATGTGCCCTTAGAAGCACAATGTACTGTGGACATGCCAAGGAGAGAAAGATCAAATCCTTAGACACCAACTCCTCTGTCCCTTCCCTGTTGATGA